CTAAATAAACCAAGCCGTATCAGGAACAAGCTCACAAATATCTGTCATAAATTACTGCATTTATAAAACGGTCAAGTACTTAACTTACTGGTTCATGTCCACAGAAAAGCAGTGGGGAGAAAATAAATGGGAAGTGTGCTTTTAACTTGTGCTAAAAAGGTAGGTAAATTCCCTGCCTTCACTTGCAACGTACTACAGAAAAGAGAAAATTCAGCGGGCACCATGTTTAGAAGCAGCTGGGGTGTCCATCACACACTGAAATTCCTATCAGGAAGTCCTCCCATCTCTAGGCTCATACCAGGCGAGTTCTGACAAATTTGCCCTGCTCTTGCATTACACCGGCCATTTCTCAACATATGATTATGAACACAGTGACTAACAATTAGAACATATAAAAAAACATCCATGTTCCTCCAAAATCAGGAGAGAAATATATTTTCAGATTCTGTTTTGTGACTGATGTGCTTCTGGAAATGCACTACAAGGCTGGACACTAGTCAACATATCTTTCCAAAGATCTTTAAAATAATAATAAACCTAGAGACAACTGAAAAGGTATTTTACAGTACCAGGACGACAGGGGGACACCCCCACGGGTTGACAAAAACTGCACCCTTAAAAGTCAGCAGACATTCAAATATCAGTTCCAAGAATCCCACCTATCCAGAGCAGCTTGCCAGGCCAAGAGCACGGCAGATAAGCTAGCCATTATTTTGGACAGAGATAAGCAGTGGACAAGGCTGGAAACATGTGTCACAGAGTCAGTCCAGGAGCAAAAAGCACAAGACTTCCAAATGGGTATACAGGTCAGGAACAACCAGGAACAAGTAAAAAGGACACTAGAGGGAATATTCCATGTCCTGTCACCAGTACAAGAGAATAAAACCATTTACAGCACACTTCTGGAAAAGCTTCATCATAAAATAAACAATCCAGAAAATAAGCCACTGGCATCATTTTTCCTGCATCTGAGATTCCCTTGCCGCCAGATCTGTCAGCCACACTAATGCAGGCCTGCTGTGAGGGCAGGTCCATCAGAATTAAAAGGCAGATCCCAGGCTAAATATGGCCCTAACATCACTGCAGCATTTTTGTGACGGATGGAAGGCCTCAAAATCTGGCATACATGAGTTTCTCTCTCCCAGAACTTTTTGAATGCCACAGAAGTGTGACCATAAAGGTAACAAAACAAAAACAAAGTGAGGGAATCCGCAAAAACAAAAAAAAAATGCAAGACCACTTAATTACTTAAGGAGCTCGTATGGCAGGCAGTCTTGCAAGAGAGCATGCTTTCCTACGTCAGATACCAGAGCACACATTGAGGTGCAGCAACACCGCTGTAGATGAAAGCAAACATGGAAGTCCATGTATCCGGTTTGATACTCACAATAGCACCATTTCCAGCCAACAGCTACCAACACATGGGAACGGACATGTGCCGAGATTGCAGGCATACCTCAAAAAACATTCAATCAAAAGAAAAAGGCCTAAAAATCAATAGTGGAGAACTCATGACCAGCACTGCAGAAATCATTTCTATAATAAAATAATAAAAGCTATATGCAGGCGAAGGCCTAACTACCCGGTGTTATGCAGTTAAGTATACAATCTCACATGGAGCACCGATTTCCATGTTCCAGTTATTAGGCGAATGGGGGTGGGGGTCCGCTGGGAAACACAGAGGCGGTTATTTTCAAACGGCAAGTCACATACAAGAGGTTATTTGATTAGACAGGAATTTTTTATTAAGTTGTGGGCGGCGTGGCGCGGAGGGATCAGGCAAAAGGCCTGCATTCATCTATAAAGGGGAGACTGCTAAGACACAGGGCACTTGTGTCTTGCTCCGGCGATACGTGGCCCCGTAGCATTACCATTCAGGGGGCATGCGAGTGGACAGGAGCCTCGACAGCTACTCTCCCAGCTCCAAGCGAGAGGCTGAAACAGAGGGGTTGACCAACCACAGCCAGTCACCAGTGTTAGCAATGTTCAGAAATACAAACTCTGAGAACATGCATATATTTCACTGCAGCCTCAGCTTCCAGTTCCCTTTTTAATAACGGAAGTAATTCAAGTTCTGCTTCCAGTGGAAACAGCAGAGGTATAACCTAGTCCAGTACTTGTAGCTAAGGTATCACGATTCATTTATTGATAAATCAGTCAGGAGATTTCCTACTGTTTCCTACTGTTTTCTAATAACAATGGTAGATATAATAATTATAATAATAACAATGATGCAGCAGTGAATCTTTTATCCCAAAGACATGCAGCACATATAAACTGCCCCTTTTTTAGTACCACTAACCTTTTATAAAATGAATCGCACACTGCACAGGCCATGACAAAAGTTCTTGCCAATTACAATGGATCCCCAAAACAGTACAACTCATGAGAGATCAACTTTCTTCAGACACTGAAATTCACAAAACATAAATGACTATTACAGGAGAGATGAACATTAGGTAAAGTGTTTCACATATACGCTCTCAACTTTCTATTCTTACTCAGAAGGTGCAAAACCTGTTGTGTGGGAAGATTACAGCAGTTTACTGCAATACTTTCTCCTCTATGATGTAAGAATCCTACCTGTTTCTAGTGTGGCAAGAGAGGATGGAAATGAAGTGAAAAGAGTCCAGATGTGCGCCAAGATCTGCCAGTGCAAGGCAAAGGTATGGATAGAGGTGAGTCTGCTCCCATGCATGCAAGATTAAATAGTAGCAGCAGGAGGAGGAAAGGCCTGGGATGAATTTCACATACAAGTTCTGAGGCAATAAAGCAACTTATCATTGTGGTACTGGACAGAAATAAAGAAGATCTCATAGATGCTAAACCATTGGCTTCAAGGAGACTTATAGACAGATGTGGAAGGAGGGCAGTATTATATACAACTGGGCTATAAGAAAGGACAGCAGGAGAAGGGCCTCCTATGCCTCCCTCTTTCAAAGCATTTGTACTGAAAACCAACACAAAAAAGTAACATTTTCTAATTGCCTACCCTATCAAAACATGGAGTATTTGCAAAGTTGAATGGATGCGCCAAGAGCTAACCCCACAGCTCAGAGTAAGGTCCATTCCGACACCTCCCCTTAATTGGGATCCCAGGGACCACAGACAGGCAGTACCTGAATGCATAGTCAGCCCTTGCTTAGCTAGAGATTCCCCTAGTAGAGATAGCGAATGAATGGCAGAATGTTCATGTACATAAAACAAGTCCATTTAAGTGCTACGCTATAGACGCGTGCAGGCAACACTTTGCGCAACGTGCGATTTCTAGTGATGCAAGTTTCAAAAATACCACAGAAAGGGGAAAACGCTTTCTCTTTGGGCATGCAATCGAAAGGCCAAATAAACAAATTAAAAATACTCCAGCGATGCATTTATTCAACATTCTGGCATAAAACTGATCACATTTTCCACAGCATGTGAGAAAATCCATCTATTATGGATGATTATTCTGATGAGGGTCATGGGGCCTGACGGCTATTGCAGATAGCATGAGGTACAAGGTTGGGGTAACACCCTGTCCAGATAGCACACCATCACATGGCACATACACAAATTCAGGTACCGCGGGCAATTCGGGGACAATCAGACAAACTGCAAGACTTTAGACTGCAGGAGGAAATCCAAAAAGACACACGACATAAGGAGAACGTGCAAACTCCACTCACAGAGCAGAGGTGGAATGGAAACCTCTGGAGATGTGGGGCAACACATCTACTCACTCAGCCACTATGGCACCACCATCCTAAGGAAAGGTTTCCACCAAAATCATCTTAATGTCAAGATAAATAAAAGACAAGTCGAAAAAGGTAAAGATCCTTGTCATTAATTTTAATGGACCCAAATATAACCTTTTAGAAACACTCACCTAATTCCATTCCATATTCAGTTAATATACAAATAATGAATAATAAAAAAATACATGTTTAAATTGACCACACCACGTGACGTTCGCACGAAAAACAAAAACAAAGCAACTGGCAACATAATTAAAAAGGCGGCGAAGCATCTAAAATTTCAGAGAATGAATAGAGGAAAAGGAATTTACCGTCTTATTTGCACAATTAATAAAAGGTTAAAGGATAAAGGAGATCCCAACCATTAGAATGGCAAAAGTGCAAGTATCCTGTCCAGAAACTCGTTGTCCCTTTAGGGGAACTACATTTACATGCTTATTAGCAACGGGGTGACAACCGACTGGACGGGAAAAACACTCTCAGTCTCGGGGACCAGTCTCGGAAACTCCATTAATCCAGTTCGTCTACACTCGTTGGGGCGGGCTTCTTCTAGCGGGCAGTATGCGAAGAGGAATATGGAAAGCCATGTCCCCACTTAAATGTTTTGCTCCAGCCCCTCCCGCCCATCCCCCCCACCACCGGTATTTGTTACATTTAAGAGTGACACCCGGTTTAAAATACAATGGGTCAACACCAGTTTGGCTGATGCCCGATGCACATTTGCAGGAATTAGCAACTCTACACTTTGAAAGATCAGCACACCGTATAACTACCCACCCACCCGACTGTCCGGCTCTGTGCAGCCAGTCGATCTGAATAAACACGCCACGTCTGACTTTAGCCTCTTCCCCATCACTTAACAGGCTATACTGTATATCAACCACCTTTAATTGGATCGGTACCGGGGCCGGAGGAGAGGCTCGGTATCTGCAATGGTCTGATCCTTAATACTGTATTTCGGGCGGCAGAAACACGCTAGGAGGGACGGCGGAGATGTGTCAGGACCTGCGGCCTCCTGGCGGTGTGTCACGACCAAAAGCAGCGCGTAAACTTCAAGGTTACACATCTCTCTACAGTCTACTTCCCAAGCTCTAAAAAAGCCCGAAAACAGCCACACAGTCGGCGGTCTGTCCGCCGGTCATTATTTCATAGACGACCAAGGACCGCAGTCTCAACCAAAAATAAACCCAAAAAGACTAATTTGTATACAAAACTTCAATGATTTTGATTCCAACTCTTCGAGGGAAGGGGAAAAAAACGTACCAGCAAACAGTCGGTGTTTATCTCCGATTTCGGGTCCTTCAGCATGGCATCGATTTTCCCAAAACGAGCCTCTAAACTTTCTCCGGCGGACATTTTTTTCCTGTCACTTCTGGCTGCGTGATTTTAAAAAAAGATTCTGTAAAACGCCTCCAATTTATATATATAAAAAATACTTAAGCTGGCAAACTAGAAAGCGCAGTTTGCTCGCCTATCAAAGTTGTAGGGCCATTAATCAAAGGAATTTCGGTTTCGACGATTTATTCCTCTCCATTTTACATTTTAACGTCATCTCGGATGGTAAAAATCCACAGTAAAAGAAGGAAATGATCGATAAAATATCCAGTCCGCTTATTTACACACAGGAAAAAAAATGCAGCAACGGATCGCTCTGCTTCCCTTTACAGTGGCAAAACAATATTCCTCAACTTAAAATAAAAAGTGAAATTATTCATAAGAGCTGTCGCTTCCTTCCTCCAAGAAAATATCCACAGAAAGATGCATTTCTGAAAAAAATACGGAGTGGAAAAAGGTCAAATGACTCTGACAGCTGCAAAGTAATCAGCTAGTTAGCCAGCTAGCATGCTAGCTCGCTGGAAGTGACGAAAAAAACTTCGGCTTCCATTTCGACGGATGAAGCGCGGCCCCGGCGAAACATCTCTTCACAGTCCGCTTTCTGAATCACACTATCCGGGGTCTAGAGTCGATCCAAGGCCGTGGCGGGGAGCACCATATCCGCGACAGGGGAACTTTCTGTTGACAAACCAGCTTAAATCTCTGTATGCTGTCGACGGACACCGTAGGCTTGCGAGGTCCTCCGCCTTTGCTTGAAAAACATGTCTGTCTTCCTGTTCTGCGGACCGGAGAAGGAGGCGCGCGGGGGGGCAGACCGCGATGCCGTGAATTCTGCGCATGCGCATCAGCCCGGCCAGCTCTAGAAAAGCCGCAGGAGTGCGCGTGAAGACTTGTGCTAGACGTCCCGAGCGCACATGCTCGGTGGAACAAAAATCAGTGATCGGTGGAACGAAAATGATCGGAGAAAAGGTAGGGCCGGAAAACTCTATAGGCGACAACTTCGGAGGGGGCGCCTCCTTGCCAGCCAAGCTCACTTTGCCTGCATGGTGGGTGCCAGCGCTGATGCTCACCTATAGCGCGACGTCGGCTAGGACCGGTACTGAGGGAAGGTATAATATTATTTATGTGATCCGGTAATTCACATATATACATGAATTACACTGTTCATACTTCATATATACTTCATATATAACTTTTTCCCACGCAGTACTTAAACTGTGCGATAAGCCGACAGCGCAAATTCATCCGCACTTTCAATGAACATAGGCCAGGAGGCATCGGTTTCATTAATTTAGCTGGTATTTTTTTGAATTGTGATCAAATGTACAATGAGGACTTCATTTATAATATTTGGACCTGTGATGTAACCGTGTCGTGATGGACTGGATGGGACAGCTGTCACACTGATCAAAACAAGGATGCAATATAAATGCTCATAATTACATATTGCCACGGGGACGGTTGTTAAAAATGAAGACAACATCAATCCATCCATTTTCTGTACCCACTTAGCCTATTCCCAAAGCTATGGGCTCAAGGCAGAGAATAACCCAGGACGGGGCACCAACTTATCGCAGAGCGCACTCACACACACTCACACACACTCACACACACTCACACACACTCACACACTCACACACTCACACACACACACACACACACACACACACACACACACACACACACACACACACACACACACAC